TACAAGCATTCATTGAAGGCACATAGTCAAACACAAACTACCTTGAATCAATGAAAAGTCATTGGGGGATAGACCTTATTATGTGCAGTGCGCACCATTGGTAATGCACAGATAATAATATGATAAATTACTGATAAAATATTATTATATCTACAGTACTGCATGACAACCTGTTATGTCTGCACTGTTTTAAAGTGATATCATGGATGTCACCAGGATGCTCATGAACAGGAATTCCTACAAGGTAACCAAGTCTTGCTAACCAAACCATAAACTATAAAAAATTTCAGTACTAAAGCCTGTAACTGAAAAATTAGATGTGACTTTATACATGCAAATAAAAGGAACAAAGAAAGAAAGAGGGGAAAAAAACATGCTTTCAGGGCACAAGCACAGCATCGGGTGATGTAACATTTATAGCTGACAGAAAGAGAGACACAAAGCCTTTCAGTGTTTAAAATTGGGCATTTTTCAAACTATAACACTGGGTTTCTACAGCCTGTGATCATATTTCTCACACAATGTTATTACAGTTATTTTTCTTTGTTTCCAACAGTCTCGTCCTCCTATGCAATGACAGAAAAATCTAATCATCCTCCATAGGTACAATCAAAAAGCCTTTATAGTCTTTATATGAGAAAAGGCAGCCTTGTAAATGACGTGCACATTGTCAGTCTATTGTAAACAAGGACGCACAGAGTTGTGTGTACTCATGTGCTCAGGCTGGACGTGCATCTGGGACAGCTCTCTGTTCAAGTGAGGTCAATCATCAGCAAAAGTGATGCGTCCTGGCCCCTCACTCTTCATCCAACGCCTGTAGCGTTTCCATCGCGAGTCTGTGGCCATTTTCATCTTCATTTCTTCCTCCTGCTCCTCTCTGTAGGTCTTAATATATCAAACACAGAATGATCAGTTATTCTGGAGTCCTTCAACACGGACATACTAACAACACCACACATTCAAGCTTAAAGGGGTCATATGATGCTGCTAAAACGAACATTATTTGGTGT